TTTTTGAGGCAGGTTCTCACTGTATAGTTTAGGCTAGCCTCGAATTCATGGAGATCCTCCTGCCTCAGTCTCCTGAGTGCTGGGATTACAGGTGTACACCACCACATCTGGCAAATCCATGCTTCTTAACACTGACCTTCATAAACCCTGTTAACTTCTCCTTTCAATATGTCTTTATAAAGATCTGGTCTTATTTCCATGAACAGGATGATTTCAGGTAGTCCTCGAGAAATATTGAAATAAATACAGTATCAAATCATCTAGTGAGAAATCTATTCCAGAAAGGGTTCACTTTCAACCCTTTAGTTATAAGAACTTTTTTTTTTTTTGGTACTGGGAATCAACCTTGGGTCCTTTTGCTTGCAAGGCAGGCGGCAGAACCACTGAGCTAAATCCCCAGCCAACCCTTCAATTGTAGCAATCCGAGTTTCAGGATAGTCTCTAACATTTCTTAATCTCCTTTAACACAGAAAACAGGCCTGATGCTTTCTGCAGGCATTAATATCTAACTAAAACCTAAAAAGAATTTCTTTTTTTTTGGTACTGGGGATTGAACTCGGGTCCTTGCGCTTGCAAGGCAGGCCACCGAACTGCTGAGCTAAATCCCCGGCTCCCCTAAAAAGAATTTCTTAAATAGCTATTTATTATCTATTTGTGGTAAATAATGCTAATTTTCCATTTGTAACTATGATATAAGGTTTCCTTTAAAAATACACTTAGGTTAAAAGAGAAGTCCATTTACAGAGTGATGATAGACCAGTAATGGCTTAGATGGTAGTATGTAAATGTGGCAAAATTGTAAAGACGCTAGGTAAATTCAGAAGCCAGAAGCTAGAGAAGCGGCTGACCTCCTGGCCGCTCTCTGAGCCTTTCTTTCTGGATGTTTTTCCCTCATTCTGTTTCTCCTGTTCAGAATGCCTTTTGCTTCTACATGCCAGATTTTCGCTTATACTTCAAGGGCAGGCAATTGTCACCTCCTCCAAAACCTCCTACGACCTCTCTTCACTAGGCTCCCACTCTTCATCTCCCCTTGGAAGATTCTGACCCCTCAAGGGAGGGTGGGGATGAACCACCCTGGGTAACGTAGCACGGTGCTTCAGGTGTGTGACGGACACAGTTCAGCTGCTTATCCAATGTCATTGGCAACTACCGGCCATGACTGCGGGAGACCTAGAACAGTGCTTCTAACTGCTTCACTCCAGGCAATAACAAGGGCCATGTGGAAAAAAAATGAAGCACAGTATTTGCTATCAGCCAGGGGTATGTTCTAATTTCAGTTCTGCCACTTCCTGGTTGATCTTTGGATACGTCATAACTTCTAGGAGTCTCAGGCTTTTGTCTGTTAGTCTGAAAAATACTGATAATATAATAATGCTGCGTGGGGAAGGATGATGTCTCCATCAGTTCTCTGTCTCCTTTGGCCTACCACAGCACATTGTCTATTATAATAAAAACTCTGCAAAAGGGCATGCACTTTCCTATTCACAAAATTAAAGTGTCCAAAATTAAGGCCCTGTTCTTCGAGAGGCAAGTCCATCTCCTCACCACGAACCTGTAAAGTCCAGATCTGGCCCCTGCCTGCCTCTCTGATGTCATTTCCTCTGCACTCCATTTTGTTCTCCTTTTTATTCTCAACCACATCAGGTCCCTCCCTGTCCTGAGTTCTTTGTATTTGTTCTCTTGCTCTGCAAAGCTCTGCCCCAGCTCTTTGCATGGTGGGCTCTTTCTCACTCTTCAGATCTCAGCTTAGATGTCACCAGAGAGAAACCTCCCCCGATCACTGAATCTGTCCCATTATGTCATTCTGCTTTAATGCTCAGCCAAGTATTTATTTTGCTAGCTCATATTTCTTTGATTGTTTTCTTGCCTGTACATGCAGTGTCCCTAGCACCTAGGATGACATCAGGCACACAGTCGTTGTTCAATACAATCTGTTAAATGAATGAAGGTTTGCAGAAGGAACAACTGTATCACATTTTACAAATGAGAAAAACGAGGCTCAGAGTTTAAGACATGAATTTTCCCAAGGCCACAAAGGCAGGAAAGGGTAAGGTGGTTCTAATCCCTTTCATCGCTCCAACAGGAGTTTGTGGAAAGAAGCCAAACTTTTATAAGAAGGGAGTTGGTAGAGTCAGTGCAGAGGATACCTCGGGAGGAACCCCTTTTCTACTGTCCCTGTGCCCACCCGAAGGGAGTCTCCACTCTGCACTCACTGTCCACCTGCAGGAGGTTGGACTGTAGGTCAGGGTGCAGGCGGCCTCGGGCCAGGCTGTCACTCAGATTCCGATTCAAGGTCAGGACATTCAGCAGAACCTGTGGGTAACCAAGGGGCAGAAAAATCAGGAACGTCCAAGGGGTGGTGGTTCTGGACTCCCCAGTTCTCACCCTTGGCCCAGATTCTTTACTGATTTCGTCTATAGAACCCCTCTCATCAGCCATGTCATCTGAGTCTCTCAACAGCCCTGGAAAATAAGTAGGCCTGAGATAACTGTCCCCATTTCACAGAGGAGGAAACTGAGGGCTGGAGAGGGCAAGTGCCTCATTCTAGAGTTTAGAGGAACACAGGGAGGAGGCACCACTAGTCTTCTTAATCTAGCCCAGCCCCTTCCCCTTTCTCCAGACAGGGCAGAGTTAATAGCTGGAGGTGGTTTAAGGAACAATGTGGGTACTTTCAGCTTTATGGATGAGTGTGATGAGGCTCTGGAACTGAGCTTCTTGCCCACTTTAGCAGAAGGAAGTTGGCCTAACTTCTTAACCTCTCTGGGCTTCAGTTTTCTCATATGTAAAAGAGAAGTGTTCATTCTTTCTAGAGTTAGGAAGATTAAAATGTCCAGCAATCAGTAAGAGCTCTATTAATGTTAGCTATTGCTATTACTTCCACTAGAGAGATGGATACTGAGGTTCAGAGAGGTTAACTGAATCCTCCTTCATCTCATGCAGAGGTTGGAAATTGGCATACTTGGGATGGAACGCAGGGGAGTCTGCTTCCAAAATATGTGCCATACAGATTTAGATATATTCGTAGCATCCTGTTCTGAGGTACTCTGGAGAGTGGCAGGCCTGTCACTTCAAAATCAGACCTTAAAGAAGGCTAGCTGTTTATTCAGATGTAGGATAAAGGGATGATGGGACTTGAGGTTGATACAACACAGGCAGCCCAGATGCCTTATCACTTTTCAATTCTACTGGCTCTGTAATTTCCCCTGCAAACTGGGAAGACAGGGGGCTTCAGGGCCTCATTTTCACTAAGAAACTCAGCACAGTCCAATTGTCCCAAGACAAGCCTGGCAGCTCAGCTCATGTTTGCTGTATAAAGGCTGGAAAAACAAGCCAGGGACATGAGAGGCCTCTGAGCCCCAGCCATAACTTGGCTCCTGGCCACAAAAGGCCCATAATGGAGGAAAACTCACCTGGGTCAGGCCACTGAGGCCTCTAGCAGCTCCGTTGGCCCCCAGGGCAAGATAGGTCCCACAGAGCCCCTCTGCTGGTCGGACCACAGTGGGCAGCAGAAAAGAGAGTGGCCGCTTTCCTGGCTGCACTGAGTTCTCCTGTTGTCAGAAGGCAGAGATGGAAAGGAAGGTGTGGGGTAGGGCAAGCTAGGGAAAGGGCCACCCCACCACCCTTCCCATCTCTCTCCGTCTTCTACATCATCCACAGCACTAGTTTTCCTGGGAGATTGCTCCTTTCCAGGGCAATGGTGTACTATCTGTGAAAAGGGCGAAGACCCTGGATGGCTAGGGTGGGTAAGAACAAGTAGTAAGTGGATACATTAAGCTAAGAGACTGCTACTGGATTCAGGGAAAAGGACTGAACCAAGAAAGATTACAACAGGAAAGAAGAGTAGAATCTCCTCTGGATCATTTCTACATGTCTTTGCCCATCTGAGGATCCAGCCTGCAGGATAGAAGAGTCTGGTCTCCAATTAGACAACAATGTCTAGGTCTTTAGGTCCCACTTTTGTGCCCAGCCACAGGGTTGATCCCTATCAGCTCAGCATCATGCAGGCATAGACTACAATGCAGGAAAGAGCCCCAAGCACCAAATGGGGCCAATACCCTTTGTACAGGTGAAGAAACTGAGGTTCAGAAAAGAGCAAGACAGTCTTCCCCAGGTCACAGAGTGAGACAATGACAGAATGGGATAAGGGTTCGTCAGACCCACCAACCTCCATACTCCAGACCATACAGGGGTAGGGATGAAGTGGACATCTTATTTCATTATAAATTCCTAGAGGAAATAGGGAGGAAGGGGCAGCCACATAGCTGCACCTCCTGTCCAGCCTCAGGTTCACCAGGGGAAGAAAGGTGCAATATCTCACCAGGTTGTGCGCAGAGTGGTTAGCAGTCCTGTTGGGCCAGGAGAAGTCCAGCATCTGGCTGTTGAGCAGGATCCCTGAGGGGGTGATGAGGCCACTGCCAAAGGGCCGGTTCAGGGAGCTGAGATGCCGAGGTAGGGGGCAGGTGAGCTCTGTGCCTGCCTTCACACCTACTCAGCTACCTCCCTCCTAGTTTAAATAATCTTTTGTTCTAGGTGCTAAGGCTGAGCTGGCATACCTGACCATGGCCACAATTAAGTCATCAGGGCCCATAATCAGCACCTGGGCAGCCGTGGGAGCCCCATCCAGCTCGTAGACAGGCAGGAGTGGGGCAGGGGTTGCCTGGGAGTCATTGATGTGGCCCCGGAAGTAGGTGGCCTCCACCTTGCTGAAAAGATAAGGGGTTGGGTATTAGCACAAAACAAGCTTATTATATTCCACTTACCTGTGGTGTTTGTTTGTGCAATTACTTGGCTAAATCTTCCTCTCCTGCTGGTCTATTAGGCCTCTGAGGGTAGAAGCTCACTTATTACTGATGCAAGACATACTCAGGAAAGAGTTGTTGAAGCGAATCCATTTATTTGGGTTTTACCCAAATTCTCTTCTAGAACCAACTTTTAATTTATTTAACGTTTAAATCAAGAGTCTTTTAATTACTTGACTTTACTCCATCTTTTCTATGGAAGTGCCTGGTGCACAGTGGATGTTCTAGAAATATGTTTTGAATGGATGAACTGGATTCATTTAACCTAATGTTCCTAATCTAGAATGAAAGTTTTTTTTTCCCGGGACAGAAGTATATAAATGGGGTTTTTAACTTAGTATTATAAATTTTTTTTTTCAAGGGAAAGGAGTAAATGACACTTGTAAGCCCAAAATAACTTCTTATTAGATGACTTAGTTGACTGGATTTCCTATAGATGTGTATGCTAGGTTATTCATAGTGATTAGAGAGTAATAAATTATCAGGGATAATGAAGGTTGATGATCATGTGGAGCAGGCACACAAGCCTTTGTTGTAGGTGACTGGGAGGGAAAAGCTTGGTTTTCATGTTTTATCCCTGTGGCATTGACATAGTTTCTGGGTTTTTTTTGCCTTTTTTTTTTCTCATTGAGTTTATCAGTACATTTTTAGGTATACAGTACAGTTACTTCATCATTGGGCTCTTGTACCATTACATGACAGGTCTTGGTTCTCATTTTTCCCCTTATCCCTGACCTTCCTTCAACCCCTCCGCCCTTCTCTATTTACAAAAACTTTATTTCCATTTTTTCATTTTCTCATACTTTTTCTTTTCCCTTATTTCCTTTCCCCTACCATTCCCACTTCCTCTATACCTTTAACCCTTTTCTTCCTATTTCACATTGTCAATAATACTGACATGGTTTCTGTTTTGGTGGCTGCACTTTTTTACATTTTCATCAGAGATGTTAACTTTTTAATTCTTATATCAGTAGGTGAATTTGTATGTATTTGCTACATACAGCCTGATGTGTTGAAAATATACACACATTGTGGAATGGTTAAATCTAGCTAATTAACAATGGCATTACCTCACAGTCACCATTGTTGTGGTAAGAATATTTAACATCCATTCTCTTTGAGTTATTTGAGAATATATTGTCCTTAACTATGGTCACCATGGTGTACAAGATCTCTTTAACTTATTTCTTTTATTTAACTGCCAATATGTGTCCTTTGATCGATACCTCCCTAACCCCCATTTTGTTGCTTTTTAATTATAATTTAGCCTCATGATTGCCATTAATTCATTAGGAATTATTGGAATTAAAATTTAAATTTACAGCAGGTGTTGTGGCACATGCCTATAATCCTAGCACCCAGGAGGCCGAGGCAGGAAAACTGCCACAAGTTCGAGGCCAGCCTGAATTACATAGCAAGACGCTGTCTCAATCCCCTCCCCAAATTCAAATTCAAATTTACATTAACTATATTTTTGGCTGCATCTTTTTTTTTTTTTTTTAGACAGGGTATTACTGTATAGTTCAGTTTGGCCTTGAACTCACTATGTAGCCTAGGCTGGCCTTGAACTTGCAACAATCCTCCTGCATCAGCCTCCCAAGTGCTGGGATTATAGGCGTGGAACACCACATCCAGCTAGCTTCATCCATTTTTTTTTTCCATTGCTGGAGATCAAAACCAAAAGTCTCATGCATGCTAGGCATATGTTCTGTCCTGAACTATATCCCAACCCTACAGTTTTGGCTTCTGATTTTCCCTTGGCAAGCCTGTAAACCAGGTAGAGTACTAGTTAACCACTCTTTTCCCTATTGTCAATTAATAGTAGCTAACACTTGTTGAACATTTATGTATTATGTACCCAGACAAATGCTTTACATGTATAATCTGGGTTAGTCCTCATCAAAACCATACAAGTTTGATAGTATATTAAAGGTCGCCCTTGTAGAAACAGTCTTAGCTTAAATTACTTGCCCAGGCAGCAAAGCTAGTGAATGTTAAAGATGGGGTCTGAGTGGCAGCGGTGTCATCAGAACCCCCAGTCTTACAACTATGTTATGCTACTAACGAAGACACATGAGTACATTCTCAAAATCCCTACCACCTGCAACGTTTGCTTGTGGCCATTCTTGATATTAAGCTTTTCCACTTAAAAATGGGAAGCAGATGGGGCTATACAGTGACCTGTGAGGATCAAAACAACTTCAGAGCCACATGAAGTAGACTAATTCATGGCACAGAAGGAGAAGGCAAAGTGCAGGCAGAGGCACTCACTGTCAAAGTGTAAGCTGGGATTTAGCTGAAACTGACTGGGGCTCACCAGTTGCTTTCCCCCATCCTTTCCTCACATCCACTACTAATTTGGAAGCACTGAGGGTCCTGCCTCAGCACCCACCTGAGCATATCGTCTGTGCTCTCAGTGATGGTAGAATCATAGACAGGATCTCCCAGTCTGCTGGCCAGGGCTAATGCAATCTTCAGGGTCTGAAAACACAGCAGGGATGTGAAAGAGGCTTCCAGGCCACTCCCAGCACCCACACCCAGGGGATCTCACGTGTAAGAAAACTTGGAAGTGGTTTAGTCCTTCCCCATAGCACGACACCATCTCTCCATTCCTAGTGTCCTCAAATTCAAGTGAGGTGGAGGGGTCGGCCTTACCTCTGCCACCCAGTGAAGAACTTGCTCTCGGGACACCAGGCTAGTGAGATTGAAGCCCTCAAGGATATTGAGAGCACTGATGAGTGCTGGGCCTGTGTGCGGGGGTGGGGGACTGAGAATCAGGTGACCTGAAAGGACAGAAAACGACCAGATGGCAGGGGAGAGGCCAAGTCACCTTCACGTTCCATGTCATATCTGCACACCCCACCATCACACACACTTATCAGATGGGAGAAATGAAAGCACTGAGAGGCAAAAAGTCACACTCAAGTTCACATACCAAGTCAAAGACAGGGCCAGGAATCGAACTCAGAACACTGCTGTTGAGTTTCCTCTGCCCTATGGGGAAACTAAGGCTTAAGAGGGCAATAACTTGTCCAGAGTCACAGTGTAGGCCATTGGTAGAGTAGGGCCAGATGTCTAGTTTCTTGGCCTGTCGTGTGTCACCTTTCACTTCCTCCCACAGGGCAGGATAGAATCCAGGACCCCTGACGGTCCCACTCAACCTGAAACTTCTTGTGAGAGCAGCCTCCTCTTCTTACTCTGATATTAGATGTTTGGACATCAAAGGAATAATAACACCTGACATATAACACCAACATTAACTAACTCACACATTTAACCCTCCTAATGGGTAGATTATCAGCCTCATTTTATAGGTGTTGCAACTGTGGCAAGAGGGGCAACTGGTTCAACATCACAGGAGACAAAGGGATCCTAGACCACCAAGGTATTGGCATTGCTAAGATATCTCAGGCTGGGGAGGGAAAAATGGAAAACCCAGTATGCATTCAGTATTGCCTACTGAAATCAAAGCCACTTCTCATATCAACTCATCAAACCCTCATGGGTCATCTGAGATCTGGGCACTAGTATTTCCATTTTAATATTTTTATACCTACTGTTCCATTTTTATCTCTCTCCCTTTTTTTTTTTTGTACCGGGGATTGAACTCTGGCCCTTGCACTTTTGAGGCAGGCGGCAAAACCACTGAACTAAATCCCCACCTGAACACCCAATGGGTCACAGGTAGGTGTAGTGCTCACTTGAAATCCAAGCATTCTGGGAGGCAGAGTCAGGAGAATCACAAATTCAATTGCCAGGCTTGGGAAACTTAATTAATTAGACAGGGTCTCACTATGTAGTTCAGGCTGATCTTGAACTCACTAGGTAGATCAGGCTTGCCTTGAACTCCCAGCAATCCTCCTGCCTCAGCCTCCCAAGTGCTGGGGTTACAGGTGTGTGCCACCACACCTGGCCACAGTTTCATTTTTAGAGTGGTACATAACAATGGAGCATAATAAAAAATTTTCTCTTTAAATTCTGCTCCTTGAATTTTTCTAGGTAACATATATGATATGAATTTCATGCAAAAATTCAGAACATTGCAATCTTTGGCATAAATGGATTAAGGAAGGAGGCAAAGCTTATGGTAGGAAGTACTTATTCAAGGAAAATGATGTAGCACGTACTCAACCTCAAGTCTTGCTGGCTCTAGAGCTATGATTTTTCTTCTGTTTCATGTATCACTGGCTGAGATAACAAGGCTGGAGACTGAGCCCAGGAAGCTCAGAACCCATGAGCTTGGGTTTGGCAAATGTGAATTTTACCCATATAAACTCTGCTTTCTGTATCTGTTATTAGTTTTTTTGGTTGAGCAGGTCAAGTTCCAGTCGCTGTCTAGGCCCTAATTTCCTTTTGGTACAAAGAGGGAGCAAGTCTGTGACTTTAAAGTTTCATTCTGCCCTAAAGCTTAGATAGATTTCGGTCTTACAGATTCTTTTCAGGAAGCACAGGGCAGTGAATATGGGGCTGGGGAGGTGGAAAAGGTAACACAAAGCTCAAATCAAGAAAAATGCTTATGGCCAGAACCTCAACTTCCAGGTCTAAGACTTTGGTTAGATCCGCCTCTACCTCATGTTTTAAATACTTGGGTCGACTGACCCCATGAATGCTTCAGAAATTGAGCTGGCTCTGGCTCACGTCAACAATTGGCTGCCCAGACAGCTCAATGACTTAGTTTCTCTCTGTGAAATGGAGAGGAGTCTCCAGGACAAAATGATACAGCCATGGACTGGAAACCTTCTCCTGAGTAGGGACCTGGGAGCTGGGGGAGAGGTCACCTCTGTACACGCCACACACGGGCTTCTCCACGAGAGCACTGTAGTTGCTGAAGTCCTCTTCAGTAATGACACCCCCTGCGTGCTGAGCCTGGAGGGGACAAAATGACCCCCCACTATTGTAAACATGTGGGCTTAGCCTATGACACACGTTTGAATCATAAGCAGACCAGCTGTTTACAACTTTTGTGCCTTTTACACACACATCATGGCCTTTTGGGACCCCATCAGCTGGAGGTACAACAGGAAAAAGGAAGGAGGAAAACTACTAACACCAAGCATTTATCATGTGCCAGGAACTGTGATAGGTACATTCCACAAACAACCTGCTTAAATTGGCAGGTATGATATGGCCCCTGCCTACTTCTCCCACTTTGTGTCCTGCTATTCCTCAGTGAGCTGCACACAGCTGCAGAGTGACCTGCAGATACTGAGCTCTGGCTCCATGTCTTTGCATGTGCTGCCCTCTCTGCCTGTGTAAGAGGAAGACTTTCCACTCAGAGCAGGACTTGCCTAGGAGAGATCAAAACTGAATTCTGCATCTTATCACAACCATAAAGCCACTACAACACCATGAACTTAAATTGACCTGATAGGATTGACCTTTACGGGGCGTATAATGGAGCGTATTTATTGATCAATGAACCAATCTTGCACAAACCAATGGCCTTGGTCCATCCAACCCAGCATACTAATTGACAATCCTGAATTAACATCATCACTGTGAATCTCTCTTTTTTTTTGTATTGTTTCATACTTGAAACCTTTAACTTATTTACTCTCAGTGAATTATATATTGAATTTTTTGGCTACTAAATGTGTTCCTTTGTCTGGCAACTTAATAAACTCAACTTTGATTTTTGACTTTTAAAGCTCTGATGGTCTTCATTCCCTTCTCCACCTCCAGCTAAGGGTACACAGGTCTGACCAATCAGATCATTCCTTTCTGTGCCTCAGGAATTGGTTTGGGGATAGTCACGAGACCTATGACAACCAATGAGACACAACCTTGAGGCATTTGCTGGAACTAATGAAAAATGTCCTTTCTCTGGGATGGCTTAGAAGGATGGCTTTAGATGGTCTGGTGGGGAACAAGTATGGAAAGGATCTGACAGAAAGAATGAATCCAAAGAGAAGAAAGTGAAAGAGAGGGAGGGGAAGAAGGAGAGGGAGGAAAAAGAAGGGAAAGGAAAGGAGGGAGAGGGAAAAGAGAGGTGAAGGAGAGAAGGAGGCAGCAGGGGAAGGAGAGAGAGGGAAAGGAAAGAAGGGAGGAAGGAAAAGGGATTGGGAGAGAGAAACTTGATGATGTACATTGAGTCTCCATGTCTGGATCTGGCAGGCTTTAGAGCCAGTATCTAGACTTTTCAGTGAAGTCCACTTGGGATGGGCTTCTATCACCACATCCGCACCTCCAGTGCCCCAAACAGGCCCTGGCATGCAGCAAGCACTCCACAACTGGAGAACAAATGGCAGACCTATGTAATTCCCACAACTTTTTGGCAAGATTTATACATACATCTACATTACACAGACAAGAAGAAGACCGCTGAGTTGGTCTGTGCAAGGTTTTCTGGAATATAACTTTTCCACTAGAAGTTTTGGACTATTCACAGTAATTCTCAGAACGCATTAGTATCTCAGACTAAGACTCTTTGCGGTTGTGGGGTGACCTCCTGTGTCAAACTCCCCAGTCCTGACAGTCACCAGAAAAAGAGATGTTTCCCTCAGTCCTCAGAAATCCAAGGCAGGGAGGGTTGTGAGTGGGTTTAGGGAAACAGGTTGATGCTGGGTCTCCACCAGGTCTTCATGGTTGGCACCGGTGCTGAGAAGCCTAAATGTACCCGCCCAACCAAGGCAGAACATTTCCATCACCCCAGGTTTTTTCATGCCACATCCCAGACAGCCCCTGTTCTATTTTCTGTTACCATGGGTTAGTTTTGTTCATTGCAGAATTTCAAATAAATGTAATCAGGAGTGATACGAAGAAAGGCAGGGAAGAAAGGAAGAGAGCATCCCTGTAATAAGGTCCGTGGGGGTATGCCCTGCCTCCCTGCCTTGTACTCACCTCAGCTACCATCTCCAGCGTGAGGTTGCCACCACTGTAGAAGACAGCAGGACCAGAGGTGCCAAGTGCGTCCAGCACCTCAGCCAGGTCAGGCCGACGCAGCAAGGAGCCCGGCAGTGGTGGGTGGCCCAATGGCAGAAATGTCTCCAGGAAGCGTTCAGAGGCATTGGGAGGCAGCTGCTCAGCCAAGGCATGGGCTGGGGGCAGGGATGAGAGGCTGGGAAGGGGACACAAGGACTGCACAGGATGGCTGAGATGCGCAGTAGGTGGACGGATGCGGAGTGAGTGGCAGGATCTAAGTGCTGTGGCCCACGAGGAGCCTGTTATGGGGGAGTCAGGGACGCCTCTAGGCCCTTTCCAGATCCCCTTCATTCAAGACTGCCTCCAGGCGAGGGTGGGATGGGTCAGGGAAGAAGTCTCAGGAGCCACTGGAAGAAGGGTCCTCTCCAGCTTGGGCCCCAAATCTCAAAGTTTCCCCCCATCAATCTCATACCTCTTTCCCAACCCCCAGGTTCCACTGACCTAGATCATGGGTCACGTTGAAACCATCTTGGGCCACAGCTGCTGCGAAGGCCAGGACTTGGGACCATGGCAGCCTGGGGGGGCCGGAGAGCAGGGAGTGGAGGAGGTCCTGGGGGAAGGAGGAGGGGTCCTGGGGGGAGGGGGGTTCCTGGGAAGGAGAATCCTGGCAAGGGAAGGGGATATTAGGAGGGGGAGTTGGGAAGGGAAGACTCCAGGAGGACAGGAAAAGGTCACCCAAGGAAAGGTGCAGGCAGGGGATCCTGGTCCCCAGAAGAGAGTCTTTACCTGCCATAGAGCTGATGAGCTTCATGTAGCCCCTTCACCATTCCGGGGACCCCCACCAAGAGCCCGGGCTGGGCGAGGCGGGCAGGCGAGGGAGAGAGGAGACCAGGTCACTGGAAGGGGGGTGCTGGGCTGAACTCCGCAGAGCCCCAAGCCAGGGATTGCTGGCACAGGGGAGAGACATAGGCCAAGTATCCCAGGGGAGGGACAAGATTTCCCAGCAGGTAGCCCTCCCGTGTCCCTGATTTTATCTACCATAGTTGAAGGAGTTAATAAATTAAGCAAACCCTTTGAAGAGCCAGGACAGAACCAAGTTAGATAGAAATCTATGTTGGATTATATTTTTACCTGCCTTTAAAATGGTGGACAAGGGATCTTTGTCCAACCAATTCATTTTCACAACATCATTACTTGACGCTGTATCAGTACCACTAAACTAAGTATCTACTTCTCCAAGGTATTCTATTTCCTCTTTTGCTCTCGGGGGGTGGGGTTTGCCTGTTGCTGTTCCTCTCTAATCTTCCAATGTGACACCGGCTGGGAAAGTTACAGTCATCAGGCTCAGGTGAGATATGTGAGTAATAAGTGCAGCAACCTTGTAGCATCTCAGGGTATTCAGTGGCTCCTACCCTTTCGTTGTGTTTTTCCCTTCCTAAGTAGGTAAGATTGCAGTATTACCTATTATCAGCCATCTGAATTTTTTGTTCATTATCGTATTTTAGGATGGTTACCTATCTCCCTATGGTCACCAGCTCAACTGTTTTTCCTACCTCTGTAATAAATATTCAGCAAACTAATTTTTGGATTGGTAGAAAGGCAGTGAAGATAGAGCCCTTTGGACCCTCTCTTCTCACCAGGGTCCCCACCTTGGTCTCCCAGGATCTCTGTAGGGCCTCTTCCCTGAGGCCCCCTGGTGCAGACTCCCGGAAATCAATTAGGTGGCTCTCATTTTGTCGGATGTCATGTACCAGCATCACACCCCCGCTGGAGAGACACAGAAGAGAAAGGTGATGAGACCATACCACCCCTCTTGAACCAGTAATCTTCCACCTCTCAATCCCCAACGATGAGAGCCGTAGGTTCAGTTTGTCATCTTGAGTTGGGTGTCTGAGACCCCTCCCCCCAGCAGTGATTCAGAGACTCAGCCACTCTATAAAGGTAGGGAGTAAAATCAAGGGGGTGGGGAACACAGGATCAATAGACTCTCCTAGCTTGTTATTAAAGACCTTAATCCCTGATTAGGGAACCCACAGACTGGGCAAGCACGATGTTCTGCCCCCTACCCCCCTCAGACCAGAGCTGGACCCCTGCCAGCTTCCTGCACCTGCCTACTTGGTATACCCCTTCCCCTCCCCCAGGACTGGATTATGTAAGGATAGATGGTGCAAAGAGAAAAGGAGTATTTCTTTGGAAAGCCGGAGGGCTGGTCTTGCAGGAACCACAAAAGGAATTTTGTGGCTTATTTTAATCTGAGATGGGGGTTGCAAACTGAAATGTCTGCAGCCAAGTAACGAAATAAGGAAAGCAGGATAGATAAAAAACAGGGTTTGACAAGAACTATGGCAAAATGGACAGTACCTGTTTCATCATGGGAGGCAACTTCTGTTCAACTCAGATAATTGCAGCCATGTGGAATGTGGGCCCAGTATTACTAGATCTCCTGATTGCTCAAGAGATACTGGAAACATAGACTTTTATGAAAATTCTGAACTTTTGAATAATAGCAAACCATTAAAAAAAAAAGTATGAGCTGGGCATGGTGGTGCATACCTATAATCCCAGCACTCAGGGTGGCTGAGGCAGGGGGATTACAAACCCAAGTCCAGCCTGGGTGACTCAGTGATTTAGAGAGATCCTGTCTTAAAATAAAAAATTTCAAAAAGGAGCAAGGGGTGGTGGCACATGCCTGTAATTCCAGCACTCTGAGAGGCACAAGGATTGCAAGTTGGGGTAATTTAGCAACTCAATGAGACCCTGTCTCAAAAATGAAAACAGGCTGGGGCTGTAACACAGTACAAATGCCCTGAGTTCAATCTCCAATACTGCAAAAACGAATGAATACATAAAGGGCTGGGGATAGAGTTAAGTGTGAAGGACTTGAGTTTAATCTCCATTTCCACCACCACTCCCAATTTAAGTGTGTGTACTAAACCAGTATATGTACTGAGTGTAGCCCATGGGTGACCAGCTTATAAGTTCAGTTTTTTTGTGTGTGGGGGGGTATTTTGTTTTGTTTTGGTTCTGGGATTGAACTCGGGACCTTGGGCTGGCGAGGCAGGCAGTGGCACCATTGAACTAAATCCCTAGCCCTGTAACTTCAGGTTTAAGAATTCCTGGCCTGGGGTATATTTTTGGAGGACAGAGAGCCTATAGCTTTTGTCAGACTTACAGGCATTTGCAACCCTAAATGTTGAAGCATTCCTGCCTTTATTGAAGGACAGTATACAGTGTATCTCAATTAATAGTTCACAAACTTCCATTTTTAATGGAAAACCTAAAAAAGGTTCTGAAAACACCTCCAGATCTTCCATATGATAGGCTTGCTCTTCCGAATTCATCCAGGAGGAAAAAGGAGTGAGACTGGGTATAGAACAAGAAAATGCAAGGGATTGGGGCCCAGCTTCTCTGACCAAACGGAGACAGAACCACACCAGGCTGACAGACCAGGAGACAACAAAGTAGGCCAGGGGGACCCAGACCTTCACTGCCTGGCGCTCCTTACCCGCCCAGGCCAGAACTGTGTGGAGCCACGATTCCCAAACACAAGGCTGCTGCCACAGCTGCATCCACGGAAGATCCCTGTTTACTGAGTACCTCCAGGCCCAGAGATGTACACCGGGCGGCATCGGTCACCACAGCACCCTGTTGGAAGATCTAGGAGGGGAGAAGAGACTAGGTAGGGACAGCAGGAGCCTCTGCCTCCCTATAGCCCCTCCTTGTCCTCTTGTCCCAGTGATTTTCCCCTTTGACCATTGCTTCATTACCCCAGGTGCCTCCTGCTTGGATCAAGTTCCGTTTTTGTTCTGTTCCCCTGACTTCCCAGAACACTTCCCTTTGGGACCTTCCTCTCCTAAGTCACCACCCTCACCCCTTCCCATTTCCGGGTCTTTTTCCACCACTCAGTTATGCTCCAGTTCCCAGGGTCCCTTCAAGCACTTCCTTAGTTTTTCCTCCCCAGTTCTTTCCTTCTGCCCGTCTGCGCCCCTCACCTGGGCATCCCCAAAGTAGATCTGCATGACCAGCGCCACAGTGACACCTGTGGCGAAGGTGAGGCAGGCAGTGACGATGACCGTGAGCCCATCCTGGCGGCAGGAGCACTCGGCCGCAGCCGCCGAGAACGGGTCCTTGCGTGTCTCGCGTAGCGGCGACCCGTCCTGGCTGCCCATTTCCGACGACGACGACGGCAGCCGCTGCAGCCGCGCGGACTTCAGGAAGGAGTCTGGGTCTGCGGGCAGCCGGGGGGCAGTCTGGGTGCCCGGTATCTGGCGCCCCCAGTCTCCGCCCCTATCACTCAAACCCCGCTGGCCAGCCCTGCTCACCTTTCCGCGTCTCCCCAACGCAATCCGCGACTGGGAAAGGACAGGGACCCACAGAGGAGCAACCGGGAGGCTGGATGCCCCACCCCTGGGCCAATTCCCTGAACTGGGACCCGGGGCTGAGAACGCTTGGGGAAGAATGGGCGGGAGGGCGGGACTTGGCCCTCCCCAGAAACCAGATCCTGCCCCAGCTGGTGCCCAGCCTTCCATGCAAGGAGGCAGGCACCAAAGAGGCCTGCGTTCCAGCCTTGCTCCGGTTATCCGTTCATTTACCGATTTTGAAGAGCCTACTATATGTCTGGCCCTATACCAGATGCCAGGGGGAGAGGAACAGAGTTCACAGGCTCATGAAAGGAAAAAGCCAATAAGCAAGCAGAGGAGTATATAACTACAAGTCCAGGCAAGTGCTATGAAGAACGCTGAAAAGATAGGGAATAATGGTAGGAGAGAGGAGAGGACTGCGGCCCGGGGAAATCAGGGAAAGTGCCTCCAAGGAAGCGACTTTCACCCTGGGAACTGAGAGATGAGGAGCGAGCTATAGGTAGAGCAAGGTGTGTGTGTGTGTGTGTGTGTGTGTGTGTGTGTGTGTGTGTGTAGGGTTCCGGAAAAAAGAAAGTGAAAAAAATTTAAGAAGTGAGTGAGAAGACCCGAATGTGGCAATGAGGTGGGCCTATGAGCTTGTGAGAAGTTTGGATTTCTACCTCAAGTAATGGATGCCGCTGGAGAGTTTTAAGCAAGAACACGAAGTCATCTGTTTTGTATTTTTAAAAGAATCCTCTGGAGGCTGGGGCTGTAGCTCAATGGTACAGCATTTGCTTTGTATGTATGAGGCCCTGCGTTTGATCCCCAGCTCCAGAAAAAAGGAATCCTTCTAGCTGCTGTCTGGAGAGCAGAAATTGTTCAAAATTATACCGAGTGTGAAATACTTTGCTAATAATTGAAATGTTTTATGCTAAACAGGTATAGTATTATTAGGAAATGAGAGATAGATTGGCAAATGAAAATATATTCTTTTAAGATCATGATGGATGCACAGTGTACTTACATTATTATTCTCTAATTATTCTGTTATGAATTTTTTTCACAGAACAGCTTTTATATTTTCTTTTTAAATATATACTTGTATTACATTAAAATTTAAAAATGTTTATTTTTTAAAAAAAGAATGGAGAGTGTGGTGCTTGGCTCAGTGGTGCCACCGCCTGCTTCACAAACTCAAGGGCCTGAGTTCATCCCTGGTACCAAAATAAAACAAACAAACAAACACACAAAAAACCCAAAACAAAACAACAACAACAACAACAGAAAGAGTGGAGGCAGGAGCCAGGTGCGCTGAGGCAGGAGGATCACTGTGAGTTCAAGACCAGCCTGGACTACATAGCGAGTTCCAGGTCAGCCTCAATTACATAGTGAGACCTTGTCTCAAAAAACAGAAGAAAAAAAAAAAAAAGGAGGCAGGGGAAAAAGAAATCCACTTACTTGCTGGGTGACTATGACCAAATCATTTCAAGTCATTTCAAATCATGAGCCTCATCTTCCTTATGTGGGATGGGTACAAGGATTCCACAAGGTAATGTACATCAAGTGCTCAAAGTTATTTTTATTCTTTTCCTGCCCTATCAAGGCTGAGACCCTTTTCTATCTCATAGTTCCTCTGGGTGCTATTAGCCTTGAACTCAGCTCCCTAATTGGCCAAAAGCTCTGGAAGTTTGTAAACAATAAAGAAACAGGCAGGTACCTTGATTTTAACTTTGCTATGTTGCCCAGGCTGGTCTTCGACTTGTGGGCTCAAGGAATCCTCCTGCTTTGGCATCCCAAGTAATTGGGACAATAGACATGTACCACTGCAGTCAGTAACAAATATTTTTTGAACACCTGCTACCATGTACTATAAAGTTTCTAAAAGTTTGTTTGACAAAATTAAAAATTGACTCTTTCTGTTTCAGGCTAGTATCATGGTTCACTGATGCCAGCATAATAAAAAAATCCAAGCTCGTTTTGTTTTATTTTTGCAGTACTGAGCATTGAAATCAGAGCCACTGCACTAAACTATATCCCCAACCCTTTAACTTTTTTTTTTTTGACACAAATCTCACTAAGTTCCTAAAATGCCCAGGCTGGGCTTCAACTTGTAATCCTCCTGCCTCAGCCTCTGAGAGTGGTGGGATTGATTTTAGATGTGTACTACCATACCCAGCAAAAATCCAAGCTCCTGAATTTGGTGTTTAAGATCTTCCATGAAGTGAGGTGTGGTGGCACAATGCCTCTAATCCCATCACTCAGGAGGCTGAGGCAGGAGGATCATCAGGAGATTGAGCTCAGCTTGGGCTACATAGTGAGTTCAAGGCCAGCCTGAACTACATAGCAAGACCCCATCTCAAAAAACAGAATATAACAAAACAAAACAAGACAACACACACACACACACATACACACACACACGCGCGTGTGCGCGCGTATACATACACACACAGTGGATCCTTGACTTACAAACTCAATTCATTTCTGAGGGCTGGTTATAACTCAAGTTGGTCAACTGAAGACTCAAGCTCAGCCTTTGAAGTCTCTCTCCTGTATACAGGCAGATCTCATATCCTTAGAGAGACACTGGCCCAGAATTTCTCAATTAACCCCACACAGGAAAAGATGTTGTAATCTTCCTTCCAGAACTCTTTAAGGATTAAATCTGTATCTGAGACCATCTGGAAGCACAAGCAGCCAGCCTTCGGGCCATAACTCAAGACTTTGTTCATAAGTTAAAACTAAAGTTCTGGTTATAACTCAAGTTGTTTGTATGCCAGGGTGGTTGTAACTTGAGGGTCCACTGTACAAAATTTTCTTTTCCTGACATATACATTCTTTTGGTGAAATACATATAAATTACAAGGCGATAGGAATGGAGAAGGGGATTTTTATTTTCCCTCAATATTATATTATGATGAATAGGTAATTTGTTTGAAAATTTCTATTTTTTAAAAATGCTTGTCTTCTGGGAGTCTCCCTCAGTCAGTCATGCTTGCCTCTTACCTTCAACACCCGCACCACAGAACCTGTAAATAAGATTAAAATTCATTCAACAAAATGTACCCCACTGGGTACAGAACTCTTCTTGGCCCTTAGAAGTGCCAAAAGAAGTAGGGTTCTGAACTTATATTTATTGATGCTGATGATATACCAGGTACTTGGCATATCTTACCTCATTGAAGTGTTTGTGTGGCTTTATGAGAGAAGCCCCCACTCTCCCCACCTTACAGATGAGGAAACTGAGGCTCAGAAAGGTGACAGTGCCTAAGACCATAAAAAGAATAAGTGAGAGAAACCGAGAGTCTGTAACTTGAAAGACTCATTTCCAATCGTTTCGCATGGCATTGTGAACTATTTCCAACTTTAAAAACCAACCTTCCAAGCTAATTTTAGTTGATATTTTCCAGGCACTTGTCTTTCAGGCTATTTTTTTCCAGTCAGATAAAAGAATGCAGGAGACGAAGGTGATATGGCCCCTTCACAACTGAGTCTATTTAAAACCATTCCACCCATTCATCAAGTTATTCATTTATTCATCAAAAAGAAAAAGAAAAAATAAGAAAAACAACAAACATAAGAAAACAAAAGACTTACTCAGTATTTACTGTATGTACTATGTAAGTGCTGGGACAATAATACCATTGATTTTACTGATTGACAAGAGCAATGCCGGAACACTGGGAAAGGTTAGTTTGGGACTGGAAGAAACAAGTCTTTGGGAGAAAGATGATGAGTCGAATTTTCACTATTTTGATTTCGTAGGACACCAGGAAGAGCTAGCCTAGCAGATATCTGATTTTTATCATCTTAAACAACATTCGTTGTTCAATTTTCTTTTTTGTTTTGTTTTTTTGTTTGCTTGTTTATTTTGAGACAGGGTCTCACTATGTAGTTGAGACTGACCTGGAACTCACTATGTAGCCCAGGCTGGTCTCGAACTCACAGCGATCCTCCTGTCTCAGAGTGCTGGGATTAAAGGTGTGCACCACCATGCCCGGCTCTGTTCAATTTTCTTTTAGGAAACACTCCCCTCTCCCTCAGCCAACCCCCTCTCCTTGAACTGAGTAAGCATGTAAGGCTTAAGCCTTGCCAATCCAGGGACAAGCATGTGAGCTAAATCAAGTGAGTAAGACTCAGATTTTGTTCTTTTGCTACAACAGTTGGGGAAAAGAAAAACTCTACCTAGGCCACTAAGTTGGTAGAATGTAAGCGTATAGCTCTTGGGAGCATCCTGTCCCCAACAAAGTGGGAGACTTTCTAATGAAAAAGCCCATAAAAAGGAAGGCAGAGCAGAAGATGGAGAAAAGCTAATTCCTTTTTAGGCACCTTGATCTATCTATGCTTGCAGCCCTCTATTCCTGGACTTTTCATTATGTTATCCAATAAAACTCACCCTCCTTTTCTTCCTTTCTTTTTCCTTTTTTTTTTTTTTTTTTGGTACTGGGGATCAAACTCAAGACCTTGCACTTGCAAGGCAGGCATGGTGCCATTGAGCTACATTCCCAGTCCTTCTTTTTCTTTCTTTCTTTTTTTAGACAGTCTCCCTATGTACTTCAGGCTGGCCTTGAACTTGCTATGTAGCCCGGGTTGGCCTCAAATTTCAGTGACCCTCCTGCCTCATCTTGCTGAATGCTGGGAACACAGGCTCTCTTTAGATGTACCTTTTTTTTTTTTAGCTGATTTTATTATAAAAGAACCCTGAACAGTTTATTATGTGGGTCCAAAGTTCAGGAGAGAGATCTTGGCTGGAGACTGAGGTCATTCCTGGCTTGAGTACTCCTTTAATGGGAGAACCACTACAAATTTTGAGGCAGGGGGAACGTGACCAGCAGTGCAGGGTAGTAGATGTATTGGAGAGAGCAGAAGCAGAAGAGTAGCTAGGAACCTATGAGTGATACAGGTATGAGAGGTCAGTGGCTTAGTCTATAATAGTGAAGACAGGATGGTGAGATGAAGTTTGGAAGATAGGAGGGGGACAGAGAGAACCTGATCACCTTTTAGAAGTGAGAGGAAAAGAAGGGGTCCAGGATGGCCTCTGGGGTTCCATCTTGGAGACAGGCTGAATTGCAATGTCACTGAGACTGACAATGGAGAAAGAGCAGGTGTATGGGGAAGAGATGCTGATATCAGCATAGAACACTGTATATTGAAGGTGAGGCATTTGCAAAGTATCTACAGGCAGTTGCTTGGGAGAGAGGAGCATGCATGGGCTTGGAACACAAGAGAAAGGAAAGAATTTCCCAACCTTTAGGTAGTCACCATCCAGCTGTTTTCCACAGGGCCTGCTGTGGGATGCTTGACACTTGGTTCTGGGAAGTGGAAGGCTAGAGGGTAGCCAAGCATGACAGAAGTCTTGACTAAGAAGTTGACAATGTAGGCTGTGTTAGCCATTGGGCTGGTCTACCTGGACCAAAAGAGCCTTGGGATTTGGAAGTAGGGAGAGGTGAAATGGCACTGAAACACTTACACTAATATGATGGCAAAGTCCTTGGAACCTATTAGGCAAGTCTCTGGGAGCTTTGGTGTACAGCCTTGTCATGAAATTTAAGCTCCCAGAAGCTCAGGTGAGCAGGGTCTCCGCTGGATTTCTATACACACTGGGGCAGGGTCTGGACCGAACTCCCCAATATATTTCCTGAGGTTTTGGAAATATTCATTTCCCCATCATTCTCACATCTCATGTATTTATTCCCTCAACGATTATTTATTGAGTGCTCAATGATGTTATGCTGGATGCTGGAGAGAGGATAATAAATAAAACAGTCACGATCGCTGCCTTCATGGGACTTATCAGCACAGAGTGATCAAATCATTGCACAAATAAATAATCACAGGATTTCAAAAAGTGCTAAGACATTTATAGGGAGTCAGGAGAAAATGTATGAAGGCTATCCAATGTTTAGCTTAGGAGAGACAGGTGTTCTTTGTTGAGCCAAAAGGCCCAGTCAGTACTGTAATTCAGTCAGGGCAGTGCTCGGATAGAAGCAACCCTCATGAGCCCTGAATGAAAGTCCTGGCTTCAGGCTGATATTCTCCAGGACACATCTTCCTATTCTTCTCCTTGCTACCCCTTGGGTTCAGGTTCTGAGCTGCAGCCCTGAAATGTGTGCCCCAAAGCCTCCACAGCCCAGTGTCATCATCCTCTCAACCCCATCACAGGTAGAGTATAGTCCAGTCAGGTGACCGGGAATGCCTGTCAGGGCCAGATAAGCAGAAAACAGAGGAGGGGCAGAGACTGGGGGCTTCTAGTCTGGGCGTAGCGATGGGAGGTTCAAGACAGAGAAGGGCTGGGCCAGAGAAGCGGCATCTGCAGGCCGGGAAAGGATAAGGTTCAAGTGCAAGCACTGGGAGGAGGAATGAGGCAGAAGGATGCTCTAATGCCAGGAAGTGACGTTGAGGGAAAGAGGGCTGGGGGATGGAGGATGGGGATGGAGGGGAGGACAGAGCTGGGCCACATGGCTAGAAGATACAGCAGCGGGAAAGTAATGCTCAGGGATCCCTCAGCCCCCAGGTCTCTCCCAAACCCAGTCTCTCCCCTCCCTACCCCCAACTCTTTGTAGTTACTGTAGAGGGCTGAGAACGTGCTAAAATGCTGGAGACTGCTTCTTAGGAAGCAGGGTACCTTCATAACATCACAGCCAGATCCATGGCTCCCGGAGAGATGGGGTAATCCACAGGACAGAAAAGGTACTCTAGCCCCCAAGGACTTTGAGAGGTCATGCACGCTATCCCCCTGTCTCCCAATACCCAACTCTGCCAGGCAGAGGGAAATCGTGTTCTCTTTAATCTTTCCGGGGCATGAAGAGATCCTCAGCTCTCCCCAGACTCTCTGCCTCCCATAATCCCTGGTTGAGGGGAAGTCCTTTTTAAGACCTAGACTCTATCCCTCCTGCTGCAGGCTCTGACTTGGTTTCTCCTATCCTGTCCTCCGTGGCTAGAGAAAAGCTCTCACTGGGTGATCCCAGCTGTCCCTTTGGCTCTCCCGTCCAACATTTCTTCCGTTTGGTTGGCTGGTTCGTTCTTCCCAAAAGGTAACCCCAATCCTCTCCTACTGCAGTCCCTGGCATGTCTCCCTTGTCGCATCCTAAGCCTCCAAAGCAGAAATGCACCCTTCTCCACCAGATAATTAACAAGGGAGAGGTCCAGGAGGAAGGGAATGAATTCGGGAGATGGAGTTTGGAGGTGGATGCTCAGAAGAGATGAAGGGGGACAGGGGACTTCCCAAGGAGGGACAGGGACGCGGCCGGTGGGCCTCACCGGTATCGGGGTCTCCCAGGAAGGCGTCCTCATCCTTACGGCCCCTCAGCGGGGCCGCGGGCGCCGGCTCGTCCTCCGGCAGCCGCGGGAAGCTGGTGATGCTCATGTAGTCCACCGGCGAGTAGGCGCCCAGGGCGCTCTCCTGGCTGGCCTCGCTCTCCGCCGCCATCCTCGCCCGCACCCCCCAGCAGCGCAGAGACTGCCGGAAGTGGCTGAGGTGGGGGTGGGGGGTGCGAAGGCTGAGGGCGGGGCCTGAGCTCCTGGACAGCCGGGAGGGGGCGCCCCCACGGGCTACAGTGTCCTGATCTGACTCGCCCCCCACCTGCTCAGCGCTGTCAGCCTGCAGTGGGCACGCAGGCGCGGGACGATGGAGAGCTGGGAGGCTGTGGAGGGTCGGCTTGGTGATCGTGCTACAACCTCTGGGCTATTCATGTAATTCCGGGGCCAAACCCCCTGCTTCTTCCATTCTGAATCCAGCTGGCATCTTACGCAGACCCCAGACTCACAACCCTTTTCTAACAACAAGTCCTTTAGACCCCAGATGTTGTCTCAGACCCAAAACTCCTTGGACCGCAAACCTCTCCTTGGACTATAAGATGCTCTTCTTTCAGTCTCAGACTACTGCTTCCATCCTAGACCTTTTGCCTTCACTCCACCTCCAAAACCCTCTGAAACCCCCGGCTCCTCGGTCATCCCTGACTGCTTTTTCGCCTTCAGACTCCTTGGATAACGGTTTCCGACCTCAGATCCTCTTTCAACAGCAACCTCTTCGGGAAGCCCTGATCCATCAGTGTAAGAGTGATCTTCAGACTTCAGTGTGTATTGAGATCTTTGAAAGCAAACTCGCAGATTCCACTCCGGAGATCATGATTCAGTAAGCTGGAATGAGGCCGTTGGAACCTGAATATTTACTGTCATTTTAGGAGTTTTTTATGTGGTTCTAGAAAGGACATTTTGAGAAAAAAAGTAATGGTGTGGGAAAACCAGGGGGAGATGGGAGGATAAAAGCGGGGAGAGAATGGGTCTCTGTAGTCTAAATGTCAGAGTTCTGTTTCTGATAGTACTGCTAACAATATGTGTGATCTTGGGTTAGGCAATCTCCTTCATCTGTACGATGGAAAGAACAGTAGCATTCATTTTAAAGAGTTGTGAGGATTAAATAAGGATTGGAAGGTGCCTCGTGAAGGACTTGACACCAAATCAACGCCATTAGCGTTATTACTTTAATCTTGTGGATTCTCATCCTGTCCAAACCCATCCATCCCCTCCACATTTTCAAGAATTGCAACCGCACTACAGCTTGCGCTACTTCTTCACCTCCTAAGGATGAGAGATGTTTTCTCTCTTATGAGTCCTGTAGTCCAGACATCTATTACACAGTCCACAGGCAGATGAAGGAAGCTAGTCAAGCTCCTGGACACACATCTCTTTCCCTAACACCAGACTCCAGGCTCAAAGACGAATTGAACAGTTTTAGCGTTTACTACGGTCACAGCAGATGCAGTACCGCCTGTAGACAGGAGGCGGCGGCAGTGGGTAGGAAAGTTGGGTTTTAGAGAAGGGACGTTGAAAGGATAGGGTCACTCAGATCTGTGTGGTGGAGGTAGGGGACATGACAATTGTCTCTATATCTATAGGTAGGATTACACGTACTTCCGCCCCACGGAGATGACATTATTTCCTCCGTGAAATCCTATTTTGCTTCTGTGAGGTCTGATCCCCCGAAGTCTGTGCCCCCTCCGTCGTATTCACTCTTTCAGTGTAGTTGAAGGCTCCTTCGTGGGGTTGGGGTCCTCTCACTGGGGTCCAACTTTCTTGGCAAAGTCTGTATCTCCTAGGATAAAATCCATGTCCCCTTCGTAGAATCAGTGCTGTTCAATGCCATTTATGTCCCTGTAGCAGAGTCCACAGCCTTTCCGTGGGATCTGACACTCACTCCCTCCCCCAAAAGATCTGTACTCCCTTAGTGGAGTCCACGTACCTTCAGTGAAGTGTGTACTCCTTCGATGTGAGTGATGTCTCTAAGAATCTGTACAATCAATGGTGTCTGTGTGCCCTGAGTGGACCTTGAGATCCTTCCCTTGAGGATCGAGTAGGCTCTCTATTATATGTTTGAACATAAGGAGGCTTTTCTGCTGAGGGTGTGCTGGGCTTATGGTCATCTGGGCAAAGAACAAAGGAGCAGACAGAAAGAAAGGGAGGCAGGGGTGGATGGAGTTGTAAACCCTGTGTAGGCACCAGGAAGCAGAGGCTGACTGTTTCAGACCTTAGACTCACTCTTGGGTTTAGGTATTTAAGGATTCTTCTTGACAGTGAGCCTGTGAATTGACCAGTAGGGCGGACTCCCCCTCCTTTTGGTACCAGGGATCAAACTCAGGACCTTGTGCTTTCAAGGCAGGAGTGGCACCACTGCGCTAAATCCTTGGCCCTGTTGTTAAACACACAGCAATCCTACTGCCTCAGTCTCCTGAGTGCTGGGGTTATAGGTGTGCGCCACTATATGTGCGTCAGGGAGTTCTTATTGGTAGTGAGCGCAGGTAGGAGACAGAGGATCCTGCCAGGCTTCTTTCCCAGTGGAGCGACTAGAAGGAAGCCAGAGGTAGCTGAGCTCAAGCTATGGTCAGTGAGAGGTGTCCCTTAGTGAGACAAAGAAGCTCAGAAGCAATGAGAATGTGAATGATTACTCCTACTTGCGTAAATCTTCTATGAGCCGTAGCTTCAACTCCAGACAGTAAAAACAGACTGAAGTTAGGGAGCTCAGGCTTTCTAACTTGCTCCTAACTTGTTCATTATTTACTTTCTAATCTTGCAAAAGTTACTTCTCTTTTCTGGGTTTACCATTTGTGAAGTGAGGAATTTCGTTTTGTTTCTGTCTTTGTTTTGCAAAGGCTTCCTCTGAAGGTTTCTAGTTTTCACTCAAAGAATAGTGTACTTTAGATTTGGGTGGAGGTTTATGGAAGCAAGGAGAATGAAGACGCTCTCAGAAGTGGGAGAAAATTGGATCTGGCCCCAGGATTAACGGAGAGGTGTGCCCTGTTCAGAGGTTATGTCCTCAAGGTCGAAGACATTTTCCTGAGGTCAGAATGGGGTGTTGCTCAGAGAGGAGGGGACTTGGAGGAAAGGCTGTCGCCTAGAACACTGCTCACCATGTAGCTTTCCAACTAGGCAGAATGACAGTCGGGACTGTGCAATCAGACCGCGAGAACACTCTACTATGAACTTGACCCAACTCCATTTATTAGCTCAGCCCTTTTTTCCCGCTAGGGCCCTGCCCTAACTTGACCCCTTATCTGTCACTCCAAGACCCCGGCTTGGTCACTCCATGGTTCTGCCTCCTGTCCTGTGACATTTAGCCCGGCTACTCCCCATCACTCCATGGGCCCACCTTCTCGCCTGTCACGTCTGGCCCCGCCCCGGCGCTGTGACTGCCAGATCCCACCCTCTTGTCCCGCCCCGTCCCCGCCCCTTCTGCTTTCACTCTACGGCCCTGCCCCTTCCGGCAAGTCGACTCCGCCCCTGCCCTTGGACTTTTACAGTCCAGCGCGTCCGTCTTCGCTAAGCCTGGCCCCGCCCTCACCGCAGGCCCCGCCCATCATGACGACCGAGGACTCACCCCACTACCAGGTCCCGCTCCTCGTATAAAGGCTCCGCCTCGGGGGTTTGGACTGTTTGCCACTCCCGGGCTCCCGCCGAGGCTGTGGGACCAGCCGTTGTGCTCCGAACTTGA